TTGAAACACATGTTTCTTGTGAATTGTAATGTGTGTAAGGTTAGAACACATGTTTATCGTGTGTTGTAATGTGTGTAGGGTTGGAAGACATCTTTATTGTGTGTTGCAATGTATGTAAGCTTGAAACACATGTTTCTTGTGAATTGTAATGTGTGTAAGGTTAGAACACATGTTTATCGTGTGTTGTAATGTGTGTAAGCTTGAAACACATATTTATTGTGTGTTGTAATGTGTGTAAGGTTAGAACACGTTTATCGTGTGTTATGTGTGAAGGGTTGGAACACATGTTTATTGTGTGTCGTAATGTGTGTGAGGTTAGAACACGTTTATCGTGTGTTATGTGTGAAGGGTTGGAACACATGTTTATTGTGTGTCGTAATGTGTGTGAGGTTAGAACACGTTTATCGTGTGTTATGTGTGAAGGGTTGGAACACATGTTTATTGTGTGTCGTAATGTGTGTGAGGTTAGAACACGTTTATCGTGTGTTATGTGTGAAGGGTTGGAACACGTGTTTATCGTGAATTGCTGTGTGTGAAGGGTTGGAACACATGTTAATTGCGTGCTGTAATGTGTGAAGGGTTGGAACACACGTTTATCGTGAATTGTTATGTGTGAATGGTTGGAACACACGTTTACCGTGAATTGCTATGTGTGAATGGTTGGAACACACGTTTACCATGAATTGCTATGTGTGAATGGTTGGGACACACGTTTATCATGAATTGTAATGTGTGTAGGGTTGGAACACATGTTAATTGCGTGTTGTAATGTGTGAAGGGTTAGAACACACGTTTACCATGTGTTGTAATGTGTGTAGGGTTAGAACCCATGTACATTGGACCAGATCTACTGTTCGTGAACATAGGAGAACGCTGCAACGTGGCCGGATCTCGCAGGTTCTGCAATCTGGTCAAGAAGGGAGATTTCGAGGTAACGAAATGCTTTGTGAGAGGTATAGAGAGACTTCTGTGAATAGAGAGCATAGGGTTAGTGGGCACACAGACATTCGCAAATGCACGAATGCATAAACAGGCACACTCGCACGCATGGACGCATGCACGCACCCACGTCTAAACA